CACACACACACACACACACACACACACACACACACACACGCACACACCTGTCCTGCTGTAGAGTCTGTTCTCAGAAAGACGCTTCATTCAAAATAGAAATTAATTTTTTAGCAGAATTTAATCTTATCCATTCGTTTCGTTTAAAAAAAGATAAATGGATAAAAAGAGCAACACTTTTTATGATATCCTGATGCATGCTCAATAATCCAGGTAGAAAAATCCAAAAAAGTTCAATCTGGTCCTCTGGACATTCAAAAAAACAACAAAAAACAAAACAAAGCAAAAAAATCTAGAAACGTTTCGTCTCTCATCCAAGAGACTTCCTCAGTCTGAGGTGATGTTTTCAGCTCAGTCTCTTAAATAGCACCTTCTCAGAGTGGATCAACCAGTTTGCTGCTGACAACCAAAACTAGCTGATCACATGCTCAAGAAGGACCATCAGCCTAACAATGGATCATTAGCACACTGATGGCTGTTTACTATTCACAGAGGGCTGAGTGATACTAGCAATCACAGCATTGTAAGAGGGGGACAGTTGAACCCGGAGGCCTCCACCCCTGTTTAATGATGGACGATTTCTTTTCACAAAGATGGCCTCCTTTACTCCTCTCTCAAACCATCGTTCCTCTCTGTCCAGGATGTGAACATCTTCATCCCTGAAAGAGTGACCGCTGGCCTGGAGATGAGTGAAGACCGCAGAATCCTGGCCTGATGATGTTGATCTTCTGTGCTGGGCCATCCTTTTGAATGTCCAGAGGACCAGATTGAACTTTTTTGGACTTTTTATGATCTTGCTGCTCTTGTTAAAAGTTATCACTTGTTAAATGCGTGTGTGTTTTATGGGCCCAACACAAACTGACACCTACTGAACATCTGGTTTGACACTCTTCAGTCTGGTGTAAGCCTCGGTGAAGCCCAGCTGATATCTCTTCATCAAATAGGCGGTCACAATAGTTGCACTTCTGCTGCGACCTGCCTGACTGGCACAAGTGTACACAAAAGGCAAAACAACAACAAAACACAAACACAAGTAGTTAGAGCAACTAGATCAGGACAGCTGCAGACACATTTATAATGACCATTAACAATAAGAACAAATGGATTGTTGTGATAAAAGGAAAAAAGTTGTGATCCCAGTTAACCTCAGAGCCTTTACCAGTGAACAAGTGCAGCTCTGCCTCCCATTACAGCCTCATCAATGAACACAAAGCAAGCGTCCATGTGACTGAGGAGGTCAGACGTCGGTTCATCCAGAATGTCGATCCATTTTCTGCTAAAGCTTCCTTCATCAGATATGAGCCAGCCGGGGTTCACAGAGTCCACAGACAGGATGTGGGTGACCGATGCATCGACCAACGCCTGTTTGTCATTCAGGTCAGCCGCAGTGCCAATGTACACACCGGAGTCGAGCAGCAGCATGACTGCAGACAGACACACACAGTCCTGAACATTTGTGGGATTATTTATTTATTTAGGAAAACAAGCTCAAGCTTTAAGTTTAGGAGACAAAATTGTCAAATTTATCTTTATAAGAGACTCGTCACTTCCAGAAGTGAGACAGAATCTGAAAATTATCTGTAGGTTATGTCTGAATTATTTTATTACAATTCCTATTGACTCCTATTCTTTTTACTATCTTGAATACAAATACTGGTAGGTAAGTTTTGTATCAATTGAACTTAGAAAAACAGTCATTTAAAACAGTTTTGGTACAAAACTACGTGATCTTTTGGTAAAAGTTACGTGATAATCTACAAAGAAATAATCTGTTTGAAGAGATTCAGTCAGGGTTTAGAGCTCATCATAGCACAGAAACAGCACTAGTAAAAGTCACTAATGATATTCTCATGGCCTCAGACAATGGACTTGTGTCTATACTGGTCCTGTTAGACCTCAGTGCTGCATTTGATACAATTGATCACAATATTTTACTACAGAGGCTTGAATATGATGTTGGGATTACAGGAACGGCTCTTAAATGGTTTAAATCATATCTATCTGATAGATTCCAGTTTGTAAATGTAAATAATAAATCTTTTTCATACACCAAAGTTAGTCATGGAGTTCCTCAGGGCTCAGTGCTTGGGCCAATACTCTTTACTTTATATATGCTTCCATTAAGTAAAATTATTAAACAGCATGGGATAAATTTCCATTGTTATGCTGATGACACACAATTATATTTGTCCATTAAACTCAATGAATCCAATCAGCTACTTAGACTACAAGCATGTCTTAAAGACATAAAAACCTGGATGACCCTTAATTTTCTCCTGTTGAACACAGACAAGACTGAAGTTTTGGTTTTTGGACCTGAGCACCTTAGGGATAATTTTTTCAGTCTTTCTCCCTCCTTAGATGGCATTAATCTGTCCTCCAGCTCTAATGTTAAAAATCTTGGTGTTATTTTTGATCAGGACATGTCTTTTATCCCCCACATTAAAAACATTACTAGAACAGTCTTCTTCCACCTGCGTAAATCACTAAAATTAGAAACATCTTATCTAAAAATGATGCAGAAAAACTGGTCCATTCATTTGTCACGTCTAAACTGGACTATTGCAATGGTTTATTATCTGGATGTCCAAATACTTCTTTAAAATGTCTTCAGTTGATCCATAATGCTGCTGCTAGAGTTTTAACTGGAGTTAGTAGGAGAGATCATATTTCTCCAGTTTTAGTTTCTCTCCATTGGCTCCCTGTCAAATCCAGAATAGAATTCAAAATCTTATTTCTAACCTACAAAGCTCTCAACAACCTGGATCCATCTTATATTACAGATCTTATTGTTCCATATTTTCCTAACAGAGCGTTTCACTCTCAGGCTGCAGGTTTACTTGTGGTTCCTAGAGTTTCCAAAAGCAGAATGGGAGGCAGATCTTTCAGTTATCAGGCTCAGCTCTTGTGGAACCAACTTCCAGTTTCTGTCCATGAGGCTGACACATTGTCCAGTTTAAAGACTGGGATTAAGACTTTTCCTTTTTGATAAATCCTATAGTTAGGGTTGGCTTGTTATGCTGCCTTAATCTTAGACTACTAGAGGACAAATTGACCTAATTTCCTTAAACTAATTATTAAACTTGAATAGTTTTCATTTGATACTATTTCTATCTTAACGTGATTCTTGACCTGCCATTGTGTATCTGTTCCTACCAAACCAGTTGGTCGAAGCAGATGTCCGCTTGTCCTGATCCTGGTTCTGCTTAAGGTTTCTTCCTCATGAGGGAGTTTTTTTTCTTTCCACTGTCGCCTTCATGCTTGATCAAGATGAGAGTTCTGTGATGGAGTTAAACTCAAAGCAGTCTGCTCCTCAGATAATGTTAAATTATTATTTTTATATATTAATGTTCCTGTTCAGTGCCCTGAAATGACTTCTGTTGTGACTTGGTGCTACATAAATAAACTGAACTGAATTACAAAAAACTGACGTAGTAAAAACATGTTCAATTAAAAATAAATACATATAAACAAATGAAACCAAAAAATTAGCATATTTCATCCCACCAATGAAAGACAAGTGTTTTTAATACAAAAAACATCAACCTTCAAATGATCATGTTCAGTTATGCACTCAATACTTGGTCGGGAATCCTTTTGCATGAATGACTGCTTCAGTGCGGCGTGGCATGGAGGCAATCAGCCTGTGGCACTGCTGAGGTGTTATGGAGGCCCAGGATGCTTCGATAGCGGCCTTAAGCTCATCCAGAGTGTTGGGTCTTGTGTCTCTCAACTTTCTCTTCACAATATCCCACAGGTTCTCTATGGGGTTCAGGTCAGGAGAGTTGGCAGGCCAATTGAGCACAGTAATACCATGGTCAGTAAACCATTTACCAGTGGTTTTGGCACTGTGAGCAGGTGCCAGGTCGTGCTGAAAAATGAAATCTTCATCTCCATAAAGCTTTTCAGCAGATGGAAGCATGAAGTGCTCCAAAATCTCCTGATAGCTAGCTGCATTGACCCTGCGCTTGATAAAACACAGTGGACCAACACCATCAGATGACATGGCACCCCAGTGACTGTGGAAACTTGACACTGGACCTCAACCAATGTGAATTCTGTGTCTCCTCTCTTCCTCCAGACTCTGGGACCTTGATTTCCAAAGGAAATGCAAAATTTACTGTAATCAGAGAACATAACTTTGGACCACTCAGCAGCAGTCCCAGGCGAGATGCTTCTGACGCAGTCTCTTGTTCAAGAGTGGCTTGACCTGGGGAATGCAGCACCTGTAGCCCATTTCCTGCACATGCCTGTGCACGGTGGCTCTGGATGTTTCTACTCCAGACTCAGTCCACTGCTTCCGCAGGTCCCCCAAGGTCTGGAATCGGCCCTTCTCCACAATCCTCCTCAGGGTCCGGTCACCTCTTCTCGTTGTGCAGCGTTTTCTGCCACACTTTTCCCACAGACTTCCCACTGAGGTGCCTTGATACAGCACTCTGGGAACAGCTTATTCATTCAGCAATTTCTTTCTGTGTCTTACCCTCTTGCTTGAGGGTGTCAATGATGGCCTTCTGGACAGCAGTCAGGTCGGCAGTCTTACCCATGATTGTGGTTTTGAGTAATGAACAAGGCTGGGAGTTTTTAAAAGCCTCAGGAATCTTTTGCAGGTGTTTAGAGTTACGTCGTTGATTCACATGGTTAGGTTAATAGCTTGTTTAGAGAAACTTTTCATGATATGCTAATTTTTTGGGACAGGCATTTTGGGTTTTCATGAGCTGTATGCCATAATCATCAGTATTAAAACAATTAAAGACCTGAAATATTTCAGTTGGTGTGCAATGAATCTGAAATATATGAAAGTTTCATTTTTATCATTACATTATGGAAAATAATGACCTTTATCACAATATCCTAATTTTTTGAGAAGGACCTGTATATGTGTACATATATAGTTTGTTTGTTTTTTCGGACAACAATATAAAACAAAAAGGAGCTAAACTTACCCAGTTTTGTCAACGTGTGTCACTATAAACTGTAGAAAAGCCCACGCACGCGGACAGACGGTCACGCGGTCTGTGGATCGTGTCAACCAATCTGAATCTTCTGAAGGATCCAGCTGCTTCAGCTGATCACAACTGTTGCAGTAAACGCTACAGATGGAGACTCCTCTGTGTAAAACCAAAACAAATCGGGCTCGAAAGCAAAAAGCTCACACCGTGTGTTTGGTCCGTTTTTAAAATGGTGTCGTGCGAAAACGTAAAAAGAATCTTTGGTTCCGACCGTGACACATTTCAATGAATAAAATGTTTTGCTGGAAGCATGACGCAAACACGATTGATTTACTGAAGCTGATATTGAACACATGAAATAAAACTGATGTGGGTGATATCACGGCTACGCTATAACAAAACATTCATCTGTTTACATGCCAGAACTTTTCGTGTTTGTCATGTTGTGTTGTTTGTTTATTTGTCATATGCAGGTTCTTCTTCTTAATGGAGTTTTATGGCGGTTGGCAAACAACGGAAGG